GTTCACTGATACCTCCTATATTTGCTAGCCTCGCAGGATGGAAATGCCTTCAGTCTCGTGATTTTACACCCTTTTAATTCCAAGGATTCTTTTAATCCCTGTGTTTTACCTCTAACTTTTTGTTGCCATCTCATAAGAACAATAAAACTCAGCATCTAGTTGTGACGCAGCTTCAGAATAAAATTTCCTGGTTGTACTTTTTTTATCCTCCTCAGTTCTGCTGAAAAACTAACGCGATGACTTTTTCTTTAATTCTAAATATTTTTTCTTTTGCGTTGTTGTCCTTTAAAATCATTCTGATTCAATGAAAATTACGCAAATATTACAAGCATATGAGGAAAAGCGATACAGGATGCAGGTTCATAATACAAGTTCTGCAGTAGTGATCAGAAATGTGTTCTACTTTTAATTATTTTTACCTGTGGCTTGAAGATAAAGCAGTGGAAACCTTCGTGTAAAGTTTAACGCATTGTTTGGAATAACTGAATGTGCTGTCTAATTAGGTCGAAAAATTACCCCCGAGGCAAAATTATCTCGGCAATTAAAGCGCGCTGGCCGAGGCTTCTAATTACAATCAATTCTGTGACATTACAACAGGCAATTTGTATGCTAAACGTAATGCTGCACAACTCTGTTCATATAAATAACATATGAGCTGTAGGAGTTGTTTCTCCGCTTGCAGTGAATAATAGAGCACGTAGCGATGTTTTGACTGGGTGTGCTCTCGCTGCTTCATTTGCATTAAGTGTGAGTTTTAATTGATAAATGCGAGTGTTAATTGATAATTGCAAGTTTTAATTTATAAATGCAAGTGTTAATTGATAATTGCAAGTTTTAATTGATACATGCGAGTGTTAATTTATAAATGCGAGTTTTAATTAATAATTGCAAGTTTTAATTTATAAATGCAAGTGTTAATTGATAATTGCAAGTTTTAATTGATAAATGCGAGTGTTAATTGATAATTGCAAGTTTTAATTTATATATAAGAATTTTAATTGATAAATGCGAATTTTAATTTATAAATGCGAGTTTTAATTGGTAAATGCAAGTTTTAATTGGTAAATGCGAGTTTTAATTGATAATTGCAAGTTTCAATTTATATATGCGAATTTTAATTTATAAATGCAAGTTTTAATTGGTAAATGCGAGTTTTAATTGATAAAGGCGAGTTTTATTTATATATACGAGTTTTCATTATGAAATGCGAATTTTAATACCAATTGCAATTTTTAACTTATAAATAGGAGTTTTAATTCATAAATGTAAGTTTTAATTCATAAATGTAAGTTTTAATTTATAAATGCGAGCTTTAATTGAAAAATCGACCATGTGCAATATGAATTTGGTCGTTCTCTCTCCCTGCAACCTGAGCGGCAGTTATTTTGAAGCTGAAATATTCCTGAAAATTGTCATAATGAATGGTACGTGCTTATCATGGCAAGGGTGACGCCTCATAATAATTATGATAGACAAAAATACTTGCAAGGACTAAAAAAGTTTAAACGTGTTAAAAAAAGTTGAAAAAACTCTCATTACAGCAATAATCAAAGAAGAATGTATACCGCCTTATTTTCTGTAACAATTCTTAACTGATTTAGCAGCAATTGAGGAACTTAAAATACCAGGTGTGATCGATTTTTTTGTGTTGGTAAATCAACAACATTGAAGGATAAAGAATCGACCTGTAATATAGGCATAATTTATTTATATATTTAATGTATTGATCTTCGTGATACCCCACATATATAGAGTGCAACAACAAGCGTTGCATAATAAAATCTCTGTACACTATTTCCCGAACCCTGTAAAAATTTCGGTGAATTAAATAAAAATTGTTGAGAGGGTTAAAAATGTAAGTAATTCTAAACATTGAATTTGGAAAAAATGAGTAACCGTGCTATACTTGCAAGACAGCAACTTTAATGAACTTCGTTACGCGATTCCTAAAACCGTAAGCAAGTTTTGAGATGAATGCTGATAGATGGCGGCGCCAAGTTCAGTGATGATGGAGATAGATGGCGGCGTTGCTTAGTTTTCCAACCTTGTTTATATACGAATGTTTTACCTCGTGAATATATTCCTTATGGAATTGAGAGACTTGTATTCTGTTTCTGGGAAATTTATGCTCGCTTTAAAGGATTATCATACATGCGTTTAGGAAATGCTTTAAATATATAATTTATTATTCTTTTGTGACTTACAAATTATTACAATACGCATATTAAAATTAGTATTTTTCTCTTCATTTCAACCTCAATAGACTTAGTGCTTAAATAAAAATAGAGTTGAAATAAGTAGTCCATGAGGTTCAATTAAACGCATAAATATTTTTCCTTGTGTCTCGAACCCTGCAAACGGTTTAGTCGGCTAATACTATGCAAACGCTTTAATTTAATTCATAAAAACAAGTTCTTCGAACATAAATAAATTCTAGTGTTCAGAGGTGCTTCATAGCTCTGTCTTCTTCGTCACAAATATTATGTAAGCAATAATAAGAATTGTATCAATAAATCACCTCTTACCCTTCATTAAACTGTCGCTTAACGTGAATATTAAACACATTTTTTCCATGTGATTGAAAAAATTCTAGCGTCACAAGTCATAGCAAATTTATATCAAAGTCGATCAATTTTCGACCGAGAAAAATTCCACCAGAAAATCAGCCCCTCCCCTCCCCACCGAAAATGATTGATTAAAATTGAACTTCTTGCGCGAGCTGGGCGATTTGCAAGTAAATTTCCTCGAGGAAATTGACAGCGCCAACAGTGCCGCCGTTACCACTTTCTTAAGAAAATGTTTTAGTGATGGAACAGAAGAGGGCAGGCAAGCGCAAACAAAACATCGTTTGTATTCACGGAAGAAGCGTGAACAATGAACTGCCTTTGATTGATGATCAGCTTCCTCGGAATACTGATTCACCGGTGAAAAATGAAGAATTGTATGCTTTAGAAGATCTGCAAGATATTGAGGCAGCGGCTCCATGGTTCATGAAAAGTGTATAATGTATGAGCCGTGACTCGGTTGCTGAAGAAAACTTTATGAACTGTATTTATTGGAGTTTAGATCACATGTGTTTACTGAAAGGGAGAAATCGACATAAAAACAGGTATGTATACTTTTCTTATCCCAACATCCAAATGAAATGAGGAAAATCTTGCAAAATTTTGCGATTTTGTTATCCTAAGAAACCATCTGGACGAATTAAAAAATGTAATAGCAGCCACATCACTTCTTCAGCACCAACTGTTTCCTATACCTGAATTAAAATTACGTTCATTATTTTCCTCCTTACGTATCGGAATGAGCCCGTCCAACCGTACAGAAGACCCTAGGCAAAGTCCGAGTTTCCTTCACTCCGTCTCAATGAGGTTTTCAAAGCCGGGCTGAGGCTCGGAAACTCTTTGAGTTAATGGCCTTAGCGAGGCACTGAGTCGTGTCCGGCATCATGTAGTGCATCCAATTACGAGCATATAAATATAAGTAATTCGGTAGGTCTTTTGAAAATTAAGATTGGAACACTGGCCAGCAGCTATCTGTGGAGACATTTATGTCGTGGCTTTCGCTTGAAGCAGATCATTATATATAATTTTGTAACTAATAATAATGCATAAATAATCTCATTAATATTCATCGAGTATACCTGAAAAAGGTTCATGCATTACTGTCTGACTTTACTCGAAAGAGTTTCCAGGAAGAGGGCTATGAGGCCGGCCAGATTCGTAAACTAGGCGTAGAAATTAAGGAGCCTCAAGAATTCCGTTCCTTGACGAGATTCGTAAATTTAGTTAATTAGATTTTAAGTTTCAAGTCCAGGAAGACAAACCTAGAAACATGTTTGCTTAACTACGCCTACAAGGTGAGATTGAAACGATATTTTTTATATTTGGAGGAAAGCTATCCGAGAAACTGATCATATACTTTTAAATGACAAATTGATCATAGTTTGGTGATAAAATATATGATGTTTTGTGTGAGTAAAATAATAGATTTAATATTGCAGACTGTCTTCATTACAGCGCGCTTTTTCTCATTTCATCTAAATTACTTTTTTGGCAAAAAAACATATTTAAATTCAGTCAGAGCGCAAACGATTTTATATGAAAAGTATGCGGAGAAATGTCTTCTATTTTAGTGAATTGTTGGAAGAGGATTTGTTTCCAAGATTTCGATGTGCGTTTATTAAGCTTTCATCTTGGAATAATTCAAACAAATTTATGCAGACCTAATTTTTTAACAATTTTAACTGAATTTTAAGGAATCAATTCTAAAATATGAACCATCAAACATATATATTTCAATTTATATTCTTCCAATAATATCTACTGCATGTAAATTCTCGTCGTCAGAGATATCTGGGCTCGCAAACGACCCAAAAGGATTATTTTACTCATTAGAGTGAGCAGGCAAAGAGAGAGCGGAATAAAATCCATCAATCTTCAAATTACTTTCAAGGTAACTAAGCATTCTTTAATGTCAATTTGTATCGTCAAATTTAACTGGATATATTAAAATTTTACATCAAGTTTTCTAACGGCGTGAATTTTTCGCAACAGATTTAGAATTAACCTACAAACGAAGGACATTTGTCCCTGTAATAAATCCCATTTATTAGATAGCACATTCATAAATCTATATATATACTCTAGTTACCACAATTTTCATTACAATACAAAAACTCCTATGATTCAAGATTTCCCGAGGATTTTTTACAAAATTTCGGGACAAATGCTCGAGTTGAAGAGCACAAGAAGTGATAATGAAATGCCAAGCATAATCATTGACTTGCAAATCTTGCATACACTCTGCTCCTAATTTGATTGAGTATCAGCAACTTCATTAAATTTTATATCCTCCCAAGGATTTGAACCATGAAGCAGTAAAGAAAAAAATTCTAAAGTTAGTTAGAATTTATTATAGATTAAATTCTTGATTTCAATTTATTATGTGCAGTGTACCTCGAAACGAATTTTAAAAAGATTAAAAACATGTTTTAAAGTTGTAAGCAAAATAAAAATAGCAAAAATCCGGGTTATGAGTGAACCTTTGAACTTGTGATGGTTGGCTTGCTTTGTGTACCAAAAAATGTGAGTGCCCAAAACTAAGCCGACAAAATTTCTTACTTTTGGTAAACGCGTCGCGTTGCACTGAACTGCTTGATGCCCGATAAAATATCTTGTTATACTTGGCAGATCACGACCTTGCTCCCTTGTATTAATTAATGAATCATTCACAATTAATTAACTAATTGATTGATCACAATTAATCAATTAATGCCGATACTACTGAAGGAGGAAGTTCATCTATCGCGGCAGGAGTTGCAGACGCTGAACCAAAGCAGCGCCAGGACGGTGGTTACCAGCCACGGGACACCGCGGTCTGTGGTGGGGCTCCAGGCGCCCTGCATGGCTGCTGGGTATTTCTCTGATCAAGAAAAATATTTTTAGGTTAATAAACGTGAGCCTTAGACGTGAAATTTAGCACAAAGACAATATCATTTTGGGCATCTGAAAAGCGCGAGCTGAGATGCTTAGACGTCAAGATTTGTAGGTCAGGATTTTGTGGAAATAAAAAGCGCGAGTTGTGTTAATTTCGACGTAAGTCTCACGATTCCAATTTTCAAAATTGTATAATCATAAGCGTTTACATTTTTATAAAATGAAAGACAAAGTCCTAATGAGAAATGCAGGTCCTCAAACTCTTTACATCTGCATGCGACTCTTCACGTTAAAAATGAATCGGGCTAGACAATCGAAATGCTGTTAATGCACATTGAAGAAAATAAAGCAAACTATATTACACCCTGAATATAAAATTTAAATTTTGATATCTCGCCTTGTCCGAAATACCTGCTACGACGTGTATGGTGACAGATGTAGCAGACAGCTCTGTGACGTTGCAATAATATATGCCAGAGTCTTCGGTCTTAGCGTCACCAACTCTGAGCCAACTTTTGGCCAGAGTACCGCGCAGTTCTGTCTTAACGCTAACGCCCCCACGGCGAGCATCATAGTTAAGTCTGTTCTCTCCGTGGTACCAAGCGAGCTGCAGGGACGAGGCCGTCGGTACGTTGGCAACCACGCACTGAAGTTCGATGGTCGAGCCGCTGTTGTAGAACTTCTCGGTTAGAACTTCGCCTCGGTCGTCCAGGATCTGGATTGCTGGCACTTGATGTGAGAAGAAATTTTAGATTAATAAGAAATGTTGTCGGAATCACTTCACTCTATTGAAAAAAGCATAGCTCTTCGTTGTTCAGTTATTTATACTGTTTATTTTGAATCATAGCCTTTTTTCATCTCGATCAAGGCACGTTTTTTGGACACCTGTTACTCACCGACCACGTGCAGGTGTATGGTACGTGTCAATGGAGGGTACGTGGACACCTGACACTCATACGTGCCCTCGTCTCTGTCCTGCACGTATTTTATACGCAAGCGCCAGTCTTGTGGATGGTCGTACGTCAGCGAGAACCTGCAGGTATCAAAGTCGATCCAATAAATACAAGTGAATTATCATAAATAAAGGTGAATTATTTATGTTTGAAATGTGAATTGATTTGTTCTCGTTGTAATTTTCGTCATTGTTGTACACTAAAATTATATGAGCAAATTTTAAATATTGAAATAATTAGAATGGAAGAAACGAATGAATCATATATTTATTTGTATTTCGTAAATAAACTATCGGAAATTCAATGGGCGATAGCAGTTTCTAGGACGGCCAATCCTTCTCGTCCCATGGCAGCGATTAGCTAATCGTGTTGGGAAATTCGTAGGTGTCAATAACAATATCTATTATTATTTCAGTAAACTAGTATAAAATTTTCTGTAAATGATGTCGTCGTTTTGAAATAGAACGTGTCTACGGCCTCTGTAAATTATTTTAACCAAGCCGCAGGAATATCTTTTTAGAGTTCCAAACTAGAATTTTCTTCACAGAAAGTTGCGACATAATCAGATCGTCGGGTCGTTGATGGCCTTCATTTATCCAGTTAGGGAAATTTTCTTGAGCACCTCATAACGTTGCTCGCTCGGCTACTTTGTGAGCTATTTGCCCCAGTAAATGAGAAAATCACGACCCATTAACGAACAAACGCAAGAATCGAAAGCGAACTCCATTCTTGCTGCTAAAGAATCAGATTGTTCGGTCGTGAGGCTGATGGGCTCTAGAAAACCTCGGCGCGCTCCGATAAGCCTGGCTTGGGGAAATTTAAAAGACGTTAAGATTGCCATGGTAATGGTGCTTATACCTTGCTTAGAAAATAAATTCTCTTGTAATGGGAAGCAATCAATGAATAAAGATCGTCAACTTGTACACCATGATTGATTGATTCTTAGAGAGGGGGATTGTAATAAATTTGTTAGTAGATTGAGGTATACAAATGTTCACACAATTTGTCAATTCTCCAATCATTCCAGAGAATGTTTGGAATCCTAGAAGGAGACTCCTTATCCTTATCTTTAGGACTTGTATCTTGCGTCAGATAACATAACATTAGAAAATTTACTGACGAAATTCAATTATCTTGTTTTTTTCTTACTTTCCATAAATCGGAATAACATAAAAAAATTTGTCTTCAAGTTATTTGTTTTTAGGAATGCAAGCTCTCGCTCTCTTACTGAGAATAAAGAAAAGCAAGCAATTTTAGTTCTGACCAGCGTACATTCCTTTATTTTTTTCAAGGAAGCGTTTCTAATGAAAGCTCCGACTGTTGTGATCTCACCTGTCGTCATTGTGATAGGTCTGGAATCCCCATGTGATGAGATGAATTTCTGAGCCCTTTCTGCGATACCACGAGACCTGCCAGAGACATGGAACAAAATGAACCCGCCAAATATGGTCACGTGAAGTCGACTCGGTCAAACATTTGTTTCCAAAGGAAGATTATAAGAAGCACACTTGGTTAATATATTATTTTGTCCATACTAGTCATACACTTAGAGAAATGAGTAAATTTTTGTCCGAATTACGTTGCCATTTTTGCTATTGTATGGGTCATCCTGATCCATTCTAGCCCGGCAAAAGGGCTTTGCTCATGCTGTGGGTATGAACGTCTGTCGTTATTTGGACAGGTTAGCCCAGTAAGTTGTATGAGTCTCAGCAAACAATCTTATCTGATGTGCTTAACGTTATGTTCATATAAAAAGGACTAATAAGAATACTTTGTAAGATAGAATTCTGACGAAAAGAAAGTACAGCTAGCAACAAAAAATGTGCATTTTTTCTTCGATCATGTACTACTTCAACGAAAACTAAAGCCGCAACAAAACGACAGGCCTTGCTTCTTGAGAAGACATACCAATAATTAGGCCTCGCGGTAATCTTTACGATCTGTCGTTCAATTTAATAATAAACCTCAAGTGAATGGAAAAATTGTAGTGCTTCACTAGCAGTGGGAAATTTTCATTAAGATGCTTTTTTATACGATGGTTCGAGCGCTGCAGTCATACGAGTCGGTGAGGTAACTTTCAGTGATAACATTCAAAACATCCATAAACTAATGAAATGCTGATTGCTGAAAAATCAGTTAGTAAAATAAAGTTTGAGAATAGATTTGTTGGAATATTGTAGAGCCATCTAATCTTGCCAGATGCTTATGGGTATCTCCGTGCCTGGCAATATTTCCTGTCTAATATTTTATATAAAACACAAGGTAAATAAAATGCTTCATATATTCCGTAGCGACAAATATATGATTGTAATTAACATTCTCTTTCAACTTAGGGGAGCAAAAAATATATTACAAAAAACATTTTTTTGCACATAAGAATTACACCTACCAGAGAAAAATGGTACAAATTTAATCAAAGCGCCAAAGCGATTGTAAAAATGCACGATTGTAGGTCTCAATATATAAGATTATTCGTAGCCGAGAACCGGGCAAAAACGATATATTAGTAGCTTCATGATTAGGATGCGGCAAAAGTATTTTCAAATGATCCAAAGAAACAAACTGCAGAGTTTCAAATGAAAAGATGTTGTTTCGACTGTAACTTTGAGAAAGTTTTTCTCGGCACACAATATCCGTTCGCTGCCTACGACCGCAGAGGTGAGCTAAGACCACATCCGCGCTCTTAAATTAAACGCTCTGACAGGGCAGATATCAGTAAGAACTTTACTCAGAACTTGAAATTTATGCTTTTGTTTGGTATCTCCTAAGATTGGTGCTAAAGTTCCGCCAGGAAAGGTCTTGAAATTTAGACGGGGTTTTGCGGATCGAGGCTGCAGCCGTGAGGAAGCTCAGGGCTTTCAGAAATCAACGAAATAAGAGCAGCCGTATGTTCCATTACGTGACAGTGAAATAAGAGCAGCCGTATGTTCTATTACGTGACAGTAAAGTAAGAGCAGCCGTATGTTCCATTATGTGACAGTAATGTTAGAGCAGCCGTATGTTCTATTGCGTGACAGCAAAGTAATAGCAGCCGTATGTTCTATTGCGTGACAGCAAAGTAATAGCAGCCGTATGTTCCATTATGTGACAGCAAAGTATGAGCAGCCGTATGTTCCATTACGTGCTCGTTGCCTAGTGCAGCAGAATTGAACGGCAACGAAATAAAGTTATTCAGTTATTTGACTAGAAGATTTACTGCTACTTAGTCTTCCGTCAAATCTAAATCAAATTCTCCATTTTTTCGGATTTGGCGATAGGATTCTTAATAGAAGTTCTGAAGGAACTCGCGACTTTTTAAAAGAATGCGTTCAAACCATCGAAAAACTGGAACACTCGCAATATGAGTTTAAGAATTCGGCCAATTTTGTATCATAGGATTTTTGATAGATTTTAGAGCACTGACCACGAAAACTTTAAGCGCCCAACAAAATCAACTTCAATGTTTTTTCTTGCTATAGGCGTATAATTAGATTGTTATACTATTTAAAAATGTAAGAATAATTAATTCCTGATTTATATCAACTTACTTACTATGAATGTTTCTAATCGCTATTGATCATTCGTGATCCTCATCGAAAACTTTCAAAGTGAAATTTGAATAATGTTACCAGTATAAATACAGAAGAAATTTTCTTCAATGACACATCAGTCTCTTTCATTTTGCATAGAATATGCAATCATCTTGCCACAACAGCAGCAAATTGCCGAAGCCTTACATTGCTGCATGTTTGCTGTTCGTCTATGTATGAAGTTCATGCCTTTGTCACGTCACTACAAATTGAATCTTCAGATTCTACTGAGGAGTAATTTTCAATACTAAAACAGAGTTCGGGTATGTCTTCACCATTTCGGGAGTTGCTCTTCACATCTCACAGCTCTGAACTCCCATAAGGAATATAGTAAGACACAGCAAGTCTCGTGCCGACACAATGGAGACAATCAAAGCTTTGCACGCAATGTTTGCTCAAGCCCTTCCTGCATCTCTATTTTCTTTGTATTCTCAAAGCAACCATCGTGAAATTCGTACGGTTTCTCCGAACGCAGAATCTGTTCTCGACCAAAAATGTCACAAACGTAGATAAAAATTTTATAATCGTGTAGCATGAATTTGTAAGCCCACTGTGCTCAATGTAATCGAGAATTACTCTCGGCATTAGAATGCCGCTTTAAGCTCCTTTCCTCTTGAAATAGTAAAAAGATAGGCCGTTCACAAGCGTTAATTTCATGTCTTATTTATTTATTTTCCGTTTTGATACCTGACAGTGCATTTCACTTTACTAATTGATTTATTTGTGTTTCTAGGACTGAACTTTTTCTGAACAGAATTTTGTGTTATGAGCTGACGATGGAGCTGGACTCCGAAACGTTTTCTCTTATAAAGATATGGTGAATTTTTGTGGTATTTTCTTTGCTTTTAAATTCCTGATACTCTCATTTTCCATGAATTAGTTGTATTTTTTGTTTATTTTTATAAACCTGTTACAGGTTTGTGTTAGTTATTAAATATTTCTACGTACCTAATTCAATACTGTTTAGTTTACAGAGCTGTTCAAAAGATCTGCATGTTAACTTACATAGCAGATGAAGAAGTATCAGTGAAAAAAATTGAACTAAGTTTTCAGTAATCTGGTGCATTAAAAGTTGTGCGTCATTTAACTACAGATATTTTATAACATATATACATTTGTTCTGTGCCTGGAACATATGGATATTTTCTTATAAATTGTTTGTGCTAGTAGTTTTTCTTTCCAAGAACATCACGTTTTGACACATTGGTTCACGTACCATAAAAAATAAGAGGCCGTTTTAATGCTACCGTGTTAAAAGAAAAATTTATGTAAATTTTAGTGATTTTCTGACATTGAGCTTCTTCTCGCTTAGGGATATCTTTAATTTGAGCGTCTACGACAACACACACGTGGCACGCGACTCATTACCCGAGTTGCCGTTTCTCTCGCACGGCAGACAAATCAATAATGTATCACACACCCTGCTTCGAAAATTGGCTTGGCGATCTATTTCTCGTCAATCCATTAGGCGACTTCAACCGACGCGTGAAAATATTTCATGAGACCGCCACATTGAGGGAAATAAACGTGTCATATTGTTCAAATTGTATCCCACCTTCTTATAAGTGGACGCAGCCCCTATAAGCCATTTTGCCTGGCTAAACCTGGTTAGGATGACCCACGCAAGGGCAAAAAATATAACTCGGTACTCACTGCAGTGAGTGACAGAGAGCGCATTTTCTCGTCGATGAAAATGTGCAGTCACGAACAGACAGACGGACAAACAGACGGACATGAAGAGAACAATAGCGTTTTTTTTTACATAAACGAGAAAATGCGCTAAAAAGGCATAGGTATCCAGATAAAGTTCCACTAATTTTTCTTAGTGTACAGCTGAAAAGGTGCAGAGTTTATTGCTGTGCTACAGCATCGTGTGCTGCTGTGCACGACGCTTCTTGGCGCGCTTAGCAATCCGAGTAATCAGGCTAAGAGGACATAAACTTTATTGCTTGAAGATTTTTGTTTGTCGTAAAACCATTACGACCAACATCACGGGCTCGTCCTCAGAGAAATGAATTTTTCGCTCGTATTCGCGCTACGCAAATCGTCGGAGCGAAAATGGAACTGGTTTGTACAAATTATGTTGGCTTTGGCTTGCTCCGAAGTTTGACGTAATTTTTATGAGGAAATTTGCATATGTTTGATAGAATAAAGTTTCGCTCTCTGGATGAGAGAAATCTTGTACCATATAATTTTTATTTTTATCCCTGCGCAGAGTTCTTCTCATCGTTAGCAGCAGTACTCAAACAGCCAAACATATACCCTGGGATAATAAAAAATTTTATGACAATATATCAAGACACTAAAACATTATGACAATAAAACGGGTGGAAGCGAAAAGTCGATTTGATAGAACAGGCAATGATATAACATGATATAGCTCGGTAATAAAAGAACGGTGATTTTACGATACGAAAAGGTCCTGGAGTATGGGGGTCTATGTTGTTTTGATTTGCACGTCATTGGCTGCGAGGGGGGCTAGGCTCCCTGGCAACAAGATTGCCTGCCTTGCTGTCAACACTACGTCCAATACTTCAACGTGGGCAAATAGGGCAAATAGGGAAGCCTGAATGTGAAAATATTGTATTTCAAATTAAATTGAACTTGATTTAATGTAAAAACTTTGGTGTGGAATGAAGCCTGAATGTTAAAATGTTTTAATATAAGTAAAGTTGACCTTAATCATATTGAAATATAAAAATGGTCGAGTAATGTTTCCTCTAAATACCAAGCTGAAATTAACATTACATAACGAAAAAATGCACACGAGTCTCATGTCGTGCAGGAGATTTGAACTTTATTCGATATCTATGTAGTATTAGTCATTGTTAGGGGGAAAT